GGGTCAAATTTATCACTCTGAGATTATAAAGCCTGTGCCACATATGACTTAGCATATTCACTTAATAGCGATATCACATTACTAAAAGCCCCAAAAAGCACAAAATAAGAAGCATTCAGACAATGGAAACTCTAACAATCATGTTCCAATCAAATCATTATATCCTCTAATCAGCAATTAGTACATGCAATTCAAAGGCTTAAACAATCAAGCATAACCTAAACAGGCTATCCTATTACTGACTGAACATTACTAGCATACAAGTCTACAAGCAAAGACAATAGGCATATAAGGCATCCTCCTAGATCCCCAGCCCTAATCTAGCATGTAGTTCTCATAACCATATCATATCATATCATAACATAACATGTATGGGCATCTTGGGGAAAACTTACTTGAACTCGGCTGATTGCACGCATCACACACTTTGTTCTTTTCAAAGTTCAGTTCCTTTCTCAAATTCTTTTCACTTCTTTTTATAAAAGGGTTTTAATTTGGAAAATTTTTATACTAAGTCCTTAGTTTGAGTTCAGACACACCCGGGAGTGTGCCCGAATCCCTCAAACCAAGGCTCTGATACCAATTTGTAACATCCCAAAAATACAGGCCAAAAATTTTATTTTTAAATACATTATTATAAAACCAACAATATAAGAAAACATTCATAATATCATGTCATGTCAACACCCAAGTAGAAATAATCAAAACATGTTATCATGAAACAATATCAGAGTGTAATCCCAAAGATCTCGTGTGCGGAAAACCATAGTGTGATGCATTGCAATCAAGCCAACTCCTTTCCTTTAAACACAAAGTACCTGAAACCAAAACTAAAAATCGTAAGCACGAAGCTTAGTAAGTTCCCCCTTCATACCACATACCATACAATCACAAAGCATACATAATGTCGAGAAATTCTAGGGTGCCCGACCTACCCGATACGAGCATTCTAGGGTGCCGACCTACCCGGTACGACCATTCTGGGGTGCCAACCTACCCGTGTTATGCCATTCTGGGATGCTGACCTACCCGTGACAAGCCATTTTGGGGTGTTGACCTACCCATGTCAAGCCATTCTGGGCTGCTGACCTACCCGTCGGTCCTAACAACCGACCCTCGGGGACTATTCCACCCCTACTAATACTATCACATATATATCACAACATAAACATACTATCATACATATCTAGGGTGTCCGAACTACCCTTCGGTCCTAATAACCGAACTTGGGAAATATTCCCCTCCTACTATCACTATCACATATAACATATCATACCAGCATATAAACATATCATCACATACTGTCAGACATATCTGGGGTGCCTGACCTACCCTTCGGTCCTAACAACTAAACTCTACCACTATCACATATAACATATCATGCCAGCTGCTAGATGACAGATTCCCGAACTGTCAACACCAAAATAACACCCAATTGGGTCCCAACACATAATCATAGGTACTCACTTCGATAATTACTACATTACCCCAAGGTTGTCTTTATTCAAGCCCAAGGACCAATCCATAGGCCCAAAAGTCAACTATCAGTCAAAGGCCATCATATAGCCTAATTTTCGAAATTAGGCCCAAACCTTTACAAGGTCTTACCATAAGGCTCAACCATTTAGTCTAGTCCAACATTCAACATACTAATGGCCCAATATGACATAATCATAAAGGCCCAGACTATAGCCCATCCATGGCCCAATTTTCCAAATTGGGCCCAGCCCTTTACATGGGCCTTACCTTAGACCCATTAAATTATTTTAGTCCATATGATTATTCTTCGATGGCCCATTAATAATCCAATCATCAAGGCCCAATAGAAAGGCCCAACAATAAACCCAAGTGAAGTTAGGGTTTCACAAAAAATGCCGATTAGGGTTAAGTTTCCTACTTAACCCACTAAGGACTTAATCCACTAAGGACTTAATCCATTAAGTCCAGTATTGCTTAGATTAATTTCTGCTAATTATTATTATTTAATATTTCAAGTTATTAAATAATTCTCGAGTGTGTCCCAAACAATTCCCACAATTAAGGTTTTAGACCCTTAGGGTTTTCTAACCCAATACTAGCCCATTAGTGCCTTGTTTGGGATTTTAGGTCACTTTGGGCCTTATTTGGCCCATTAGGGTCTCTTTGGGTCAATTAGGGTCCATTAGACCCATTAGGTTTTCCTTAAGCCCATTGATCACACGTTTGGGCTTTTATGTCCATTAAGACTCAATGGGCCCATTAGGGGTTCAAGGCCCATTAGGGTTTTAGTCGCTTGTCCAAACATCCCCAAACTATCAATCCCAACACAACTAAGCACACCGCTACCCGACACGGTGGCCGGTGGCGGCAGAAAGCGACAGCCACCACCCTACGGTGGTGGTTTTTCAGTTTCTTTTCATTATTTTTCATTCTGATTATAATTACAATACTTTAATCCAAAACTAAATAGACACACACATACACACACTAATTAACATACTAATTAATACACACACAACCACACTATGGTGGCTGGTGGTGGTGTTTGGCGGCAGCCACCACCTTACGGTGGTGGTGGCGGTTCTCGATTCCCGACCAAGCAGATCACACACAACCCACATCATATGCACATTAGAGGAACCCAGCCATCCACCTGGTGGCATAAGGCGACGGTAGGGGCACCAGAAAAATGGCAGCAGTGTCATTGATGGTGGAAACCACCATGGTTGGCCACCATGGTGGCCCTTCATGGGTTTCACTGGCCAAACGAGCCTTCTCAGTCGAACAGAAACTGCAGCCCACCCTCCAGCATGCGTCCCACGGGCTGAAGCACATTAAAATAGCTCATTCTATTTAACGGATGGCAACTAGTACAGTGGAAGAAGAGTTAGGCGGTTGCGACTATGTGAGGTACCGGAGATCCGAGAAGAAAGAAGGGAGCGAGCACGAGTGGTAGTAGCGAAAGAGGAGGGCATCCGATCGGTCTTCGTGCTCTACATGGAGGTGAGAAACAGTGACAAACTCCCATCATTCGTGCCTCGCATTAGCGGTTCACAGCCCATCCTCGGTGAGTAACAGTTCTTCCTTGAAGATTCGCTACAGCTTCACGGTGGCGGCGACTAATGATGTCGGTTGGGGGGGGGGAGGGGGGGGGAAGACGGAATGCTGCCGGACTCATCTGATCGGAGCTACAAGGCAGGGTGGCGGTTGGAGAATCCCCACCAAAGCGGATGCAACATAAGAGGCATAGGGTTAGGGTTTGTTCCCCATATACCCAACGCCCAAAAGCATATTTCCATAATGCCACAATTAGTCCCTCTCTTCATATTCTCTTTTAAAATAAATCCGTAAATTACCTTTTCAACCCTGCCCTCTAGAATTCTTTTCAAATCAAGCCCAAAACTTACGGTTTAGCCCCTGACCCATAAAATCTTTTCACTTTAATCTCATATTTACCAAATAGCCCCTTATCCTCATAATCTATTCAAATGAAGTCCCACAAATTACCATTTAGTCCCTGCCTTCATTATAACTTACAAAACTAATCTGGAACTTACACTTTTAACCCCTAAAATTCAATTTATAGCATTTGGCATTCAAATACTCATAACGATTACATCTCGGGGCTTCAGAATTTATTATTTATTTAATAAATAAACGGGGTGTTACAACATCATACACACATGTTGGTTTTCCGCACTAGAGTTTCTTGGGATTGTACTCTAACATTATTCCTGCTTTTGTGAATGACTTTCATACATGAGTTGTGGTTTTCATGAAATGTTATGATTTGATGTTGTTTTCTTATGAATGTTTTTACAAGTTAATTAATTAAAAATGAATTTTTTGGACTTGAAATTTGGGTCGTTATAGACTTGGTCAAGTTTTACATGATATTGGTAACAGGAAGCACATCCAGAATGCAGTTCAAGAGTTCCTACAATTGTGAATGCTCTTGAAAAGTTGGAGCTTACTCCAAAGGTATAATATATATATATATATATATATATATATATATATATATATATATATATATATATATATATTCAAATTCAATCATTTGAAGACAATGTTTTTAGTTTTAATATCTTATGTATGTACCAATTTGAATCAATAGTTTCAATTCCTTATAAAAAATATGGCACCTTTGGGTAGGACAAAAAACTGCAAAAGTCTTGATTTTTTTAAACTACTTTTATGCTATTATACATTCTAACTCTATGCAAGGTTCCATGATAAAATGAAGATTTATACTGATATGCAGTTTCGAGGATCTGAAATTGTTCAACTTCAAAATTTTAGAACAGCTACAGCAGAAGATGTTGCAAGTGTACATACCAAATCTTATATTTTTGGCCTTGAGAAGGTAATATAGATTTTCTTTTTCTTGACATGAACAAAAGCAAGAAATGAGAGGATTTGCAATTTTAAAACTAAAAATGATGGTGTTATGTTGAATTAACAGTTCAATGGTATATCAGTTCACGTTGTTTGTGCCATTTTGCTATATATCCTCAATCAAGGTATTAGGGAAAAGAGCCCAAAGACAAAGTCACGAAGGAATTTTTGTGGGTGGTGGAGAACTTGGAACAATGGAATAGGTATTTATCGATTTAATATTTATAATAAAATACTATTTTTTATACATGTAGCTAATACTTTTGCATATAATATAGGTTCTCGTGGGGGAGTTATCTATGGAGTAAAACATACCCTATATTATTGGGTATGTTTAAGAAATTTGAGGATCATATGTCCAAACATCCAACAAAACCTTATATGTGTACACTGTCCGGTTTTGTTATTCCTTTGAAGGTAAAACTATAATTTTTAATTATTCGGTTTCTATTTTTTTGATAATCTTAGTTATTGCTAACACTTATAAATTAATGTATATTTATTACAAGATATGGATATGGGAGATGTTCCCACTAGCTCGGGGGAATGCTGCGATACAACGAAATAATTTATATCCTCGTATCTTGCGGTGGTTTCACCTTAGTATGTTATCTTGGGAGAAAGTTTGCGATCATTTCGATGTTGACCAGAACAAGGCACATCAACCCAGAAGAAAGATGATTGCATCAGATGTCGAGTCATCTACTGCACATTATTTGACATATATTACTAGTCTGAATCCTGAATCGTCTGAAGTCCCTTCTTCTGTACGCTACAACTTTAGAAAAGAAGTAAGTAAAATGGTAAAAGTAGAATCTAGTATATTAAAAATTTTCAACTCTTAGTGATATATCAAATAATTTATGTATGGGGCATCTTCATCTTATCCATACTGTGGAAATAGCCAATCCACCCAGTCCACCGGAGAAACTCATATGGTGGCAATTAACAAGAGAACAACCTGAGAAATAATGGCAAGACTTCAAAGTTTGGAGGAAGAAATCCAAGGAATGAAAAATAAAGGGGGATTTAAAAAAGACGATGACATGAATGAATATTTTAATGTAGCCTTTGAGGTAAAATATTTAATTTTAGAAATTTTCTATCAATTCTTAACGAAACTTTCGAGGTAAAATAATTAATTGTTAAATTATGTTTTCTTTTTTATTAATTATTTTTTCTTTAAATGTAGGGGAATGAGAATGTGGATGGTACTTATCACATGCCAAACCCGGTGATCCAACAATTCGGTAGTCCACGGAATTCAAATCGAGTAAACGAGGATGATGATGTTGATTGTAGAAAACAAAAACAAATCATGAAGAAGGTTATAATTTTTTTGTATATTAAATTTTTTATTTTTTCAAATTATATTAAGTAAATTAATATGTTTTTTGTAGAAGAAGAAAAAGAAGGTTTTTGCTAGCGACATTGTGGATGCGGAAAATCATATAGCCGTGCCTCGTGTTGCAAAACCAAGGTGTCCGGTTAGGGTATTGAAACCTTCTCAACATCTTAGCTCTCCATACGTTTCTGTAAGTATGTTAAAAATTATATTTACTATAATTTTTAGATATGGATAGTTATTGACTACGTGTATAATTTAGGTTCAAAATGCTCCCCGATATCGTCCGGGTGGGGTAATACGCAATGAACCACCACCCCCTGTATCTTTTAGCGATCCCCCGACAATTTTATTGGGGTCATATGGTAATCCTGGTTGTACCGCCCCTTCTTTATATATGGGAAACAAGCCGGTTGTTTTTTTGAAACATCGGTTGTACAATGAAAGAATCGAAACAAGATTTTGGGATCTGCTTTTTTATGAAAGTGACTTGGGATTTTTAGATGAAGCGATATGAGGACATTTGTTTTGATTTAAAATTTAAATAATTTATAAGCTCCGTATGTTTAAATTAGATTATGCAACATGTTGACTTATGGGGAAGGCTTTTGAATGAGCGAAAGACCGAAAGATGCTCGTTGGACAATCATTCCATCTTCATCTTTTGGTACATTTGAGATGTTCGAGTGGGCAGGGAGTGCACTGGGACATCCATTTGACTCGTTGGATGGATGTAAATCTTGGCTAGAAGTTCACCGCGTAAGTAAAGAAATAATATGTATGAGTCACTTTAATTGTCATATTACAATTCGTTAAACGCTGTAACTAATTGCAACGACTATGTGTTAAAACATGTTTATTTTCCAATATGCATAAACCCACATCATTGGGTACTTGGGGAGTTATGGATGGACACACTGCCGTTGAATTTTTACAACTTGTGATCTTTTGGCGCCGTCACCATGATCGATTTTGTGCGGTTAGAAGATCTTATGGACCGCATTCTTCTGGACATTGGCTATTGGAACCACATGGGTTTGCCTGTTCAGAAATCATCCATTACTATTATGGATGTTACGGACGTGCCCCAACAAGAAGGGATGTTTGGAGAGTGCGATTTCTTTATGTTGATGTACATGGAGCAACTTGTTTCAGGTCGACCGATTGGTATATCGACGACACCGGCTATTGAGGCTACTCAGTTTCGCAATAGGATGGGCATGATATATTATGGATCTTCTATGAATGCGATTTTTAGTTAGTTTGATTTGTAGTTTTTTAGTGACATTTAGTGTGTATTGATTCATGATGATTGGTAACGTTCTGTTTTTGTTTATGTTAACAAAATGTCCCCTAATTATGAAACATAAACAAACTAGCAAGAGAATAATGCATATTATATAGATTAATCATAATAAACAAGCAAATATAAAACTTATTACATAGATAAACTCATGAATAATGCATAAACTTACTACTTGATTAATCAAGAATTATTAAATTCAAAAATTTTGAAAATCATTTGGAAATTTTGTTTTTTTTTTAATCACCCAATCGTAATATTCTTTTTGTATGTTTTTGAGAATCTTTTCCATTTAACCTCTTCTTTGTTGGCGTAGTCTATTGCATCTTGTACCTAGACCCTTGCAGTTTTTATGTCGCATTTTTGTCTTGAACCGGCCTCATTTTAGACTAAATATCGGCTTGTAACTTATCCAATCGTTTCCTATCTTCTTCAATACCTTTAATCTCGTTCTTGATCTCTTCTTTTATTAACAGTTGCAATCGCTTCTCTTGTGGCATCAACCACCATTTTTCTTGAAAGGTGGACATGATTGTATGTGTATGAGGTTTATAGAATAACCAGTAGTTTACGATTTATAAATCTCACACGCATACATATAAGTCTCTATATTTAATTGACAATTTAACTACTTTTTTATAGGCTTTGACTACTGTCAAATAGCTTTTGACTACTATATTATGTGTTGTCATATCCTACCAAGACATTATTGTAATTTGACTACATTCTTATAGGATTTTACTACTGTCAACTAGCATTTGACTACTATCTCATGTTTAGTCTTTGCGTATAGTGAATATTCGACACATGATTGTTATTTGACTACTTTTTTATAGCTTTTGACTATTATCCATTAGTGTTTGACTACTAGTTTATTCGATTGACTACTTTTTATAGGTTTTGACTACTATCTTGTAGCCGTTGACTGCTATCTAATGTTATATTTAATGTAAATTTGTTATCAATTCAGAAATCAAAGAAACAAAAAAAATTGAAGTGTGAAAATGACAGAAAGATCAGAGGAGATGAAAAGGATCATGGAAAAATTTAATTGGCCATCTACGTCCAACAATAAGCCTCCTTTGGGGTCAATTTCCAATAACATTTCAACCAATCCCCCTCCCAATGTCGATCCTTCTATATTAGGGGAGAAGATGGACAAGGAAGTGAAAAAGTGTTGTTACAAAGAGAAGCTGAAGTGAATAAGGCTGTTGAAGATTATCGTTTCCAAAGAAACCTTCTAGACATCTATTGTGATGACATTGATCATAAAAAGAATTGGATTATAAGTACCAGACAAGAAATCCAATCTACCGAGAGTTCCATCCGCTCTAGTGAAGAAATTTTTCGAAAGCTAAAGAGTGAATTAGCACTCCGTGAGTACTATTTGGAGAAAAAAGGAAGTTATTGCTATGAAAAAAGAGTATCCGTACGTGTTTCCAATGTTGGAAGAAGATGAGTAGTATTTTAATAATGTGCTTGTTTGTGGTAGTAATTTTAAGGTGGTATATCTGTATCTTTGTTTTTATTAGTGGTTGGTTAACAAAAAAATTTTGTAAGAGTTTTCGGTTTACCTATGTTTAGTAATCTATTTATGTTAATGTCAAGTAATTGTATTGTAATTAGTATCATATTGTAAACTAGATAGCTATGATGTGCTTAATGTCATGTTTGTTTTATCGGTTACTCAACGCACTGTTTATGTTTGCTATTTTTGACTTTTTTTTATTTGTAAACAACATGTGTTGTAGAGTCGAACGAATTCGGAATAAAAATAGATTACAACATGTAGTAAACAATACAGAAAAGCTAACACAACAAATTCTCATACATGGAAACATAAACCATTACAAATAAAAACATACATTACTACATCTTACGTAGTTCTACTACTAACTGGTACATAAAGTTTGTTAATGGACATTTAGCCAACAACTTTTAGACAACAACACCAAAAAAGAAAATACAACTACAAAGTAACGTTATCTTCAAGTGCATTCGTTTGCTTTGAAGCTTTTTCTTCGATCGAGCTAAGGTAGAGATTATCAACGAATTATTGTCTTTCGCTTCATCCACCCAACAAATAAACCCAGACTATGGTGGCTGATAAATAAATATAAAAAACAGTATGTGTATTCTCTAAATATTCAATCATAAATAACAATATAAATAATTAAATCATAATGCAAATATCTCTTTAGGACAAACATAAAATAACCACCTAGGGTTGTTGGAAGTTCTTGACGTCCTTATAATACCTTGACCCCCACAACTGCAATTTTCCATTTTCATTGGTTTATGAGATGAAATTATTATTTTTGTTGCTAGCAAAATCTCTTCAATTATATAGTGCCATTAGACTAATTTTTGGACACATGATTGTAAATTGACAACTGTCTTCAATTATATAGTGCCATTAGACTAATTTTGGAGCGGTTCCAACTATGTTTTGTTGCTATTCGATGTGTGGTAATGTAGTATTGATTTGTTTATTTTTTGTGCTAAGGAAATTTAGATTTGTTTAAAAACTAATAATTATGTTGTATAAAATATGAAATATATCAACGCATTTTTAGGATGCATGCTTCTGGTCATCTTCATAGGCAATGTCCATATTAGAGGAGAGTATCTTAATGCAATGTTCGTAGCAGTTGCTATTGATGGAAACAACAACACTACACCAATAGCTTTTGGTATCGGGGTGGCAAACAATGTTAACTCCTGCACCTGGTTCCTTATGAGGTTGAAGGATGTTATCGAAGAGGGTTTCGAAGTTGCGTTCATAACCAACATGGGAGATACCCTTTTTTCTTGCATTGGTCAAGTATTCCTTGATGCTCATCATGGTTATTCATCTAACAATGTTTTGATTTATTTCCAATTAAGAATTTGTAACGCTCGTGTTTCTAGGCTAGGCACTAATATTGACATAATGGTCTAGGTTAACTTTTGTAACTCATTTGGAAGAAATAAAAAGGGATTATGTGAATTTTATGTGAATTATGTGTTTTAAGCTTAATTCTTAGGATTTGTTTAATTAAGAATAAAAAAAGCGTCAAAATTAAAGTTTGAGATAAGCCCGAGATCTTTACATAAAGTTGTAGTGCTCGAAACAAGGATTCCGGGGATATAAAGAATGCCGAAAATCGAGTTATAACGATGAAGTTATGACCTATCGAAGTTTCGCGATAAATCGACATAGTGTCGAGTGTCGTAAAAAGTGAGTTTTTGATAAACTACTTTTTAGCCTTAGTGATCTACATGAAAGGCGTAGTATTCGTTAAACCAAGAAGTTCGATAAAAAGAATGCCCAAATCTGACTTCGTATGAGGAAGTTATGATTTTTCGAAGTTTCAGCTTAGTAGTAGACAACTAAAAACTCGAATTTTAGATCGAACGATTTTTAGCCGACACAACCTAAATGAGAATTGAAGGTCTCGTCATTAGGAGCACAACGGTAAAAAGTCTGACGAAAAAGGACATCGGATGAAGAAGTTATGAATTTTTTAACGGATTTCCTGTCCTGGTCTATTAAACTAATAATATAAAATTTAATTTCAAAATTAGCCGACGAAGTCTAAACGGAAGTTGTAGAGCGTAATTTTAGCTACACGTGCATATAAAGAACGTCAAAAACGGAGCTCGTATGCAAAAGTTATGGATTTTAGAAGTTTTTGCACACAAATCGAGAAAATTCGCATATGTGGCTTCGGCCACGTCACCCTCGCAGCATGCTTGCCACGTGTCCTCGCTCCGCATGTGCCACGTATCCGAGCTGCTGAGTCGCGAAGCCACCAGGCGAGATGTGTCGCTTGCCCTCGCATCCGAAGTCCGGTCCAGTAGAGGTCCGATGTGTGTTCTACTCCTCGTGTCCGAGCCTCGCATCCAGACCGAGCCTCGCACAACCCTAGCTCCGAAACTCGCACCGCCTAGCTCCTAACCTCGCATGTGCCCAGTAGACCGCGGTCCAATCGGAAGCTGCCAGTGAGCCCTTCGCACGTGCAGCCCTTGTGCGAGCCACCCCCTGCGAACCCTTGGATCTGCGACGCATGTCTTCTTTCTGACCCTCCGATCAGAAGCCTCGCCCCTATAAATAGGAGGGTGCGAGAGCTCCCGGGTAACTTTGGAATTTTGTCACTTTTAACCCCTAAGCCCATATTTTCTTCATTTTAACATCCCGCAAAGCCTTGGCATCGATTGTAAAGCCCGAAATACCCTACGAAGTTCCCGAGAAGCCCGAAAACTATATCTTTTTGGTTTCGAAGCCCGACTTTTGCAGAGCCGGATTTCTCAATAAAACTCTCGGTTTTATTAGAAACGATCGTTTTAGGAAACGAATTGCTGCCCGATTATCATCAAATCATGTGAGTGTGTGGTTACTTTCACCTTACACATAGATATGAAGTATTTTACATAAAATACGTGTTGTGTGAATATATATTTGTTGTTTATTTTAGATGGGTGCTGAAGGAATGATTTATACATGTTTTTAAATAATTTAAACTATATATGTATTTTTATCTACGAAAAATGTTGGTTAAAACATGGGTAGATGAAAAAGTGGGTATAATGAAAAGTGAGTTGGATAAAGGACATGATCAATAATATTGATCATGAGTTGAGGGGGAGTGGTGAAATTTGAGAGAATCACTTACCCAAATTGTTGGCTCCCGTCATTCAGCAGAGTAGGGATGACAACCATGGACTTTCTAGATAGTCCAGTGGAACACTAGCAGGCCCGCAACCTGTAGGTGTAATGAACTATATGTTCATTAGCTGTAGTCTAAAAACCCATTGACATGTATTGCAGGAGAGAATACCTAAAAATAATACTGTCAATACATGAGAGCTATGGACTTAGTACATGTTAAATAAACTTTGGCAGCTATGGGATTGGTACCAGTTGTATAAACCCCGATCACGAGATGACTTTGTGTCTATTCCTTAGGATGAATCCTT